GTTGTGCATTTGTGTCCTTAGGAATCTTCCAGTAATTAGGTTATGTTTCTGTGGTGTTCTATTGCTACTCTTGTGAAAATCAGCAAAAAATAGAAAATACAACTTAATGTTGATGGAAGAATTTGGATAAGACTCAGCATGAGGTAATATGACAACAGTCAAACAAAATTAATGTCTTTGTAGTTGCAAAGATATTGGCTAACTTGATGTTAAGGACTTGAAAAACTGTGAAAGTTTGGAGTTGCATTGGTTAAAAGACTTTCAAAGTAAGAAGGGTTACAGCAAACCAGGTGTTTTGAAATTAAATTAACAAATAGTTTACACTTGCCCAGATGTGATTTGCTGGTTTCTGGTTTCATACATTAATTTCTCTTTTAAGGCAGGTTATATTTGCCTCTCCTTTTTGTTTGGCCTTTATACTGTTTTTCTCTTCCTCTGTATGGAAGTCTGGAATTTCTAAGATGTTTTTAGGTTTAACTGATTGATTTATAGCAGAATTCCAAGATATATTATCAGTAAGATTTCATTCATTTTGAAAATAGTGATTTCCAGCAGTAGTTGCTAAAGACAGTGTTGTACAGGAGTTTAGGAAAATTGGGATGGTGTAAAAGGTGCTATTACTCTTTTGTGTGTGTTTATAAAAGGGAAAGGAATACTAAATTATATCCATGCAAGTAAGCAATAATTGATATAATGACACTTCCAGAAAGAATCTAAGTTGTTTCTTTGTTTTCAAAGTAACTTTAAAGCCTTCTTTGAAAAAAGAAGTGGTAAGCAAATATATTAAAGTTGAACCCTTGTGAATCTTGGAAAAATAAAATTCTAAGTATCTTAGCTGCAGAACCCAGTTCCTATGTTAGCAGAGCAAAGAATATTAAGTAATACACTCACTGTCCAAGAAATTGGCCAGTTCTTTTTACACTCCATAATGTGTTTGAAGATATTTTTCATGTATTCTGGTACTTTCAGAAGGAAGAATCTTTTCAAGGAGACTGATTCTAAGTTTGTAAGATGTCAGTTGGTACTGACAAAGGAAGAAAGGTGAAATTTAAAAGTGACAGATAATCCATTCTTACTTACTATTTAAACTTATGTTGACGTAGCATTACCTGTCCATTAGAGACTTTCCCCTCTGGTACTTGAAGCACTTGAGCTACATTTTATCACCATTATCTTGTGATTCTCTTCTTACTTTGTCTTGGAGGTTTTTGCTGTCTGCAATCCCATTTGATTAAAAGTCCTGTGTAAGGACGCTGGTATTGTTACAGCCACTTTACACTGTGTGTGAACCGAGGCTCCAGCTTCTGGCATCTTTCGAGTGAGTGCTGTGTAAATGCAAAGAAAGACTGATGCTTATTCTGAGTTTAAAATGCCTGTCCTATCTCCTCTTTCTGGATTTGCCAGTGTATTGCATACTGCCCTGATTTTTCAGAGTTGCTTGAGTCTAAAGAGTTTGTTAAAGTTGGTAGGACTAATTCTGTGTGAGCTTAAAGACCTTGCAAAATCTTTCCTATTTCTGAATTATCCTGTCATAGTTTTATTTGGTTTTTTTAATGTAAAAAAAATTTATTTGTATATGAAGTAATTCCTTAGATAGGGCTAATGAAAGAAAATAATTTGTCTTTATTAAGGTGTAGGACCCCAATATTTTTATGTGACAGTTTTTGCTTCTGGTGCTGAATCACCACATGATTTTGTTACGCTAGTTGCTGTGAGAATGCATGTAGTTCTTCACCCTCAAATAGGAGACATTTTGGGCCTAGAGACCACTACCCTTTTCTAAATAAATTATTTTTTAAAATCTCTAAACTGTTTTTAGACCATTTTTTTCTGTAATTCCTGGACCCTGGGTTGACAAGGAGTGTAGGGAGTGGATGAGTGGGATCATGGTGGTAACAAAAAATGATTATCTTTTTTCCCCTCTAGCCTAAAATATCAATCGTTCAACTTATAGCTGAAATAAAATATTGCTGAGTTCTGGTTTGCTGATGTAAATTTAGTACCTCTCTCCTTCTCAAGTATTGCAAACCAGTGGCCTGTTAAGTGCATCTAAGTGTATGTCTTCTTCCCTGTCGATCTCTCAACCTTTCTTTGTATGTTAAAATTAGAGATATGTTCCAAAGCTGTGGTAGTGTTCAGGACTTGCTCTGTATAAAGCAGGATTTCTACCTTTGCCTTTAGAACAGAAGGGAATGTCTGTGGTTGTCCTTTTCAGCCTGAAAGTGCTTTTTCCGTAGATCAGAAAGGTTATTAACTAGCCACACTGGTCATTTTTATATAATCTGTGGTGTGCTAATGCAGAAGTTTCAAGGTGTCATTCTCTGTACAAAATATGGTATAATTGACACAATTCTGTCTCTTTTTTTTTTTTCCTTTTGGTTGCTTTTTTTCCTAGTTAAACTCTTCAGTAAAGTCATTCTGCACCTTGACCAAAACTCAAAACCACTCATCTGCTTTTTACATGGCAGCAGCACCTAGCAAGGTGTGGCTATGCCTGTGTTGGCAAAATACCATGGAGCATCTCCTTGCGATTTTTTTTCTCTCTTCTCTCAGGGTGCCAGGGCAGGGACTTGTTGCTTGGTAGTCAGGTGATGACCTTCCTTTCTCATCTAGAGTGCCAAACACCACACTTCTAAGAAGGGTTACAAACATGGAAATGCAGTTAGTTTTATTGCAAACAACTATTCTAAAGTAATTTTTTTCTTTCTAAAGCAATAGAGTTTATTGTTAAAAGGAAACTTAAATATTTGGTAGACTCAATTGCTCACCCTTCTTAATCAGAAAAAATATTGAAGGTTCTTAACACAAGTATATCTAAGCTACACAAGCTATCTAAGGTAGAAATTTGCTGGTGAAGATGCTCTGTCAGTTTGAGATCTGACTGACCTCTTGGTTTCAGCTGTAGAATTGCTGGCTGGATTGTTGTCTCTTCCTGCTTCCTACCTGCATGTTTGAACCATGTCCCTTTCTTTCATGACTTTGTGGTTGATGTGTTTGCACCATGATGTGACCTAACTTCTGACACTTAAACACTGTTGAGAAAATCTCTTTTTGTGGATATGTAGGAGAAAATTGTTGGAGTAGCCTATAGTTTAAGCGAATGAGGTCAAATAGGGACAGGCCCTCTATGCCACCTAGCAAACAGCAGTGGCTGCTAATGAATGCTTGGGGAAGGCATGTAAATAATGTCTGGAACTGTAGAATTTAAATGCTTTTCTGTGTATTTAAAATTACCCCAGAACCCAGTGTTTTTAAATGACCTTTGAATGGTCCTAAGACCAAAGTTATCAAAGCTGCTAAAGTAAAGTTCTTTTTTTTTAACTTTTACTGCTATTTATTTATTGTTGCTACTGTTACCACTTAAGTAGTGCCTATATTGTTTACAGTAGTGTTCACAGTATCAATATTTGAAGTTACTTCAAATATTAAATATTCAGGTATTAAATGTTCAAATGAAATAATAATTTAGAAGATGAACTTTATTTATTGTTTGGCAGAGTTCATGTATTGTCACACAGCATAGATAAACTGTCACACTATTTCATGCTTCAGAACAGAGGATATTACTGAACTAATATAAGGCAAATTTATTTTGTAATCCAGCTTGGGTAACCATGTTTTTATAAAACATTTTAACTTTTTTTATTATTATTTCAGTGAGGGTGTTTTTGGGTGTTTGGGGTTTTTTTGTTGATTTTTTTGGTTTTTTTTGGTTTTTTTTTTGTAATTAGCAATGTTGTACCATATTTCTTGCATGAAATAAAGGTGTAAAGTTACACACAAATCCAAAATGGAGGTCCTTATCAGAGCAAAACTGGAGGAACAAAACAAAATGGCAGTACTAAAGCAGAGGTTCCCAAACTTTCTCTGCTGAAGTTTGGTCACTGACCTTGATATCTAAAGGATTGTTGGTGCCAGTGATGTTAATTTATCTTTATATTCTCTCTATATTTTTTCTCTTTGTAGTTTTTAGGTTTCTAGGTATCTCTCAGAGCAGGACCTCTATCCTACATTCATCAGCCTGTGAACCACCTGAAACCAGGACCCAACCCTGTGCTTAGGGGTTCATCACCCCTACTTCACTCCATCCTTTTGCCATCCATCAGAATCTACCCTGGTACATCAGGTCCCCTTGGAAAGCTGCTCTCATAACAGTACCTGGTTAGAAGACATTTGAAGTAAAATGCAAGTGTGGTACTGGTTCTGAGTACAGCTGGAAGTGCTGTAATGTTCCATGCTTAGGAATAATGTGTGGCAAGTGACTGGTCCTACAAACCCTTCTGCAGCTAAGTAATCCTATCAAAGGCAGTTGAGTGCATTTGATTAAGGATTACATGCGATTAGTGGTCTGCAAGGTTGAGAGTACAACTTGTGTCATTAATGAGTATTCACATATTAATGCTGCTTTGAGCAGAGATTGAACTAGATGACCTCTGAGGCCTGCTCCTACTAGAATGATTTTTTGATTTTCACACTTGTATTATGCAAATAGGTAACTTCCTTTATAAAAAAAAAAAAAATCATTAGTTCGATAAGCTGAACTCTAGTATGTCCCTGCCATTATTTTATCTAATTGCATCTTGTTGTAGCATGGAGTTGCAAATGTGATCCAAGTTTAAGATTTAAAACAGTAAGAGGAATACACCCATGACTTTTCTCTGTATTGCTTCAAATTCTTTGTATACAGTTTTATGTCAGATTGAATTCCTTGTGTAACAATTCTTTCCTAGCATCAGTTGACTTGTTCTAGAATTAGTTCAGAGTAGAATGCCTGAAAATTTGATGTTTTAAGTGCAATTGAGGTGTGTGAATGGATTTAAACTTACTCTGCCTAATTCAGGTACCACTAGTACTGAGACTATGGTAACAAAGGTATCAGTGCAGGTTAGCTGCCTAAGAAAGGTTTGAGGCCCTAAAAACTTTCCAAAGCAAAGACTCAGAATGTGAAAGAGCATTCTTATATTAAAAAAAAAAAAAACCCAAAACCAACAACAACCCCCCCCCGTTAGAATATACTATGTAAAATCTGAATACATCTATCTACATATTTATTAAGATGTATCTATTGAGACACAGCTGGTTGAATTTAATAAACAATAATCCTTCTCATGTGCAGGGAATCATATGGATTTTCTTCTGTGTCTGCATAAACTTTGTACCCATTGATACTTCTATAACTGTTCTCATTTAGTATTGTTAATTACTTTGAGCATGAATTTGGTGATAAGAGAGGAAATCTCTAAACTGCTGCCTGTAAAAGGCCAATCACTTTCACTTGCATGCAATTTGAAATGTTTTTATGTAACATTTTTAAGCCTCCCAATAGGTGAATTAATCTCAGTAACAGGCTATAGTTGTTTTCATATCGTATTGGTAGCCGTGTATTTAAAAAAAACACTTGGTTGCATGCTTTTATTTAAAAATACAAGGAGTATGGTAACATCACAACTATGTGTTAAGGACCTGGCAGGTCTCTTGGGCTTTTAGGGAGTATAGAAAGTAATTAAAAGGAATAAGAGGTGCTAAGAAGGAGTGGAGTTATTTCTTTATGCTGCTCTTCACAACAAGGATGTTGTGGGCATTTTATTATTTTCAAATAATGTTGATTGAATGTTATCTGATTATGGGATTAGAGTGGCAAAAGACTGAATGCTGGAATGAAGTGCTAAAGACTCGTAAGTCGGCAGGACTCCATGCTATTCATTCCTTTAGTGGTTCTAAAGGACGAAGTGGCTGATCTGCTAAGAAGAATGCATCTCATTAGGATGAAATGCTGTGCCAGAAGACCGGAAGCTGTCAAGTGCTGTACATACTGTACTTCTAAACTGAACACAAAGAGCAGAACTGGAATTTGCAGACCAAGGACTCTTATTTTAATGCTACTTAAGTAGCTTTGAATTCTGCATGGATAGTCTAGTAGTTCTGTGAGAACAAGATACAACAGCTTTCTATGCAGTTGTATCTTAGAGGTAATGAAAAATACCAGCTGCAGCTGGGGTACTTGTCATGTGTCTGTTGCCTGTGTGGTTTTTTTTCCCATAATAACATGGGCATAGGCTGCAGTCTGTACTTCAGTTTGGTCTGTTTGTGGGTTGGTCTTCTATATCTGTCTGCCCAGTACTTGGACTTCTGAAATCCCTGAATTCTTATTAAACTGTAAATGACTTTTCAGTTTTCCTTTTTGATAAAGTTTGAAATCAGGTAGTGGATTTGAAAGTTGGAAAAGGCCAGTCCTAACCTAAGCAGACACGTTTAACTGCATTAATCTCTTCTGTGTTTAGCAGTCTAAACAATTACTAAGTTGCTTGTGTTATTAGTAGACAAGAGAGGGATGGACCTCTATACTGATACACTCACACACCCTGTTTAGTTCATCCCACCTTAAACTTGCAGTGTATGGCCTTTGGCAAGAAATTGTACCCCATGCGATTTGGTGAGGCTTTGTAAATCGTCATTTTTGATGCCATTGTGGGAGTGATGACCAGTGATGCAGAGGTGGAACTGAAAACTAAAGCACTCCAGTAGTATCCTATGCTGCTTTCAGTGGCAGAGCTGTGATTTACCTTGTAATTTGCACTCAGGTGGCAACAGCAGTTTCTTAAGTACTGACATTTGTAGCTGCAATTAGCTGTGTCATCTTGTCCCCTCACTTTCCCTCCTGCTGTATTAGCACAGCGATTTGTGCCATCATGCAGTGACTGGAATCAGAAAATTGATCCTGACTTGGACAGGGGTCTGTGGCAAGCAGCAATTTCTAACCCAAGCTAGTTCCTCACTCTAGTCTAGTGGGTGGCTCCATGAGGAGATTGGGATTGTGACCTAAGGATCAGGACAAGCCATAGGATGGTCCTCTCTCTTTGAACTGGCATTTTACCAGAATAGATGCTCATCAGATTATGCCTCTAGAATCTGTGACTCATCTTGCCCTCAAGTAAGCATCCAAAGTAAAATACTGAATACATTCTGTAAAATCAGAGAAAGTTGTGAGAAACTTGAAGACAGTCTTCTAAAGCTGTCTGTATTAGCATGATGATGGTAGATGATATTTGGTGTTCTTAGCTACAAAATATTTCATGCTGAAGGGAGTAACTTGAACTACTTGAAGATAATTCTATATTACAAGCAAATGTTCTTCAAAACTACGTGTATCATTATAGATATCCAAGTGAAAGCCTCTTTGAAGAGAAGAAATATATAATGTATAAGAAACATCCCTAAACTGTATTAAAGGTGCTCTGCAGTAGCATTGAATGGAAGTTCCGTATCTGGGCATCTCTGCTTAGATTAACTGTCTATATGGTTTAATGAATTCATTTATACTTTATCAATCACTGCATATACATATCCTTTGTGTTTTAAATGCTATTGTTAAGTAACAAGTTCTTGAAAAGCAGATAAAGTGTTTTCAGTAACTTTACACAAAATAAAGTTGCTGTATTTCTTGCTTTCAGTTCAATTACTTCAGATGATCTGTAAATTTTCAATAATGGCAATACATTCATTCTGCCATTTGGAGGAGCCTGTGCCACAGAATAATGATCTGAAGAAAGCTCACTCATTTGCAAGGAAGAGTCTTCATTTGGGAATTAGCACTGATGCAGCACAAGGGTGCTTTTTCAAGTACAGGTAAGTTTTTTTTAAAATATACTTACTTGGGTTTGATATGCTGGCATTTCATTTACATCAGCATATGTGCTGTATCCTGTCAGAGCCTTTGTGTTGGTCATTTGATACATGAAGTATGTTGAAATTAAAAGGCACATGTAGGAGCAGACATACTTATGAGATGAGTGGAGGGAAATAGTCTGGAAAATAATTCTAGCACCATTTATTATCTCTGGAGTAGCTGTCAATGGAGGTTATGGTCTTAATGACACAATTCCCTTTTGCTGCATGCTTTTTCAGACTTGTTGTATGTGTTTATTATATAAATTCAGTGTTTTGCTAAGCCTGAGTTTGGATCAAAACGTTAGTAAGTCTCAAGTCATTCAGAGGCAGCAAAAAGGGAGAACAGTTAGGTTTTCACAATTGTAAAATTTTCTACTTAAAAATATTCAGCATTGGAATTTTAAAAAAATAATTTAAATTTAATCTTTTAAAGTGTGTTATTAAATCTTGTAATTGTAACACTAATGGTTTCTGTATGTAGTGTTTATTTTTTTCAAGATATCCAATTATTTTTATAACTTAATCATGACTTCACAGCACAAATTGGTTTATAGTAATATTCTGTATGGGAGTGATATGCAACGTACATTCAATAAGAACTATTAGCAGTAAATTAATGTGAACATTTAAACAGGCACTTGAATTTCTTGTGTTCTCATTGCAAAGTGTGGGGATTCTCTAACTACCAATGGGTTTGATGTTCCAACCAGCAGCCAAATAAATGATAATTTATTGAAAAAAAAATCCAACAGCTAAATACTTCTTATCAGGTAGAGCACAATTAGTTAGCCTTTTCAGTGGTGCACAAATCAAGAATCTTTTAATGATATCTGTCTACTTTGTTAGACAAATTATTAGTTAAATTACAGGATCACTTGCATCTTTCTAGATGCATATACGATCTGAGAAGCCTTAACAATATCATTTGTCATGCAGAAAATCCTGCAGAATTAAGTGGTTTTCAAATTTGCCAGGTATATTACTGTGGTATCTTTGGGGTCTGGAAACAGAGGCTCCTTTCTGCATGTTTTTGTGCACATTTGACTTCATGTCAGTGCCTTCCTGGTAGAGAACTGATGCTGAGAACTTCAGCGACATAGAAAGAACATCAGTTTTTTTGAGTGTAAGCTTTTAGTTTAGTCCTCTCATTCTTGTAGGAAGCATGAAGGTGTTGTTTTAAAGAAATGCTTTATAAATGTAATCGATAATTAGAAGTCAGAAACTAGTTTAAAATAACTTTTGAACTGTTAGTGTACTCCGAACAGGAACAGCAGTAGTGAAAAGGAGGCAGTTGCTTCAGTGTACTTCTAAAAATTGAAATGCATGTCAATAAAGTCATCACAAACCAGAATTATCTGGTCCTATTTCAGTATGAATGCTGTGAATAGTGTTCACTAGATAGAATTTTAAGTTTTGGGTTTTTTTTAATGATACAGAATTATAAAAACTGAGGTATTTGGTGTATCCAAATTTATTTTTAATGTAATTAAAGAACAATATTTATTCTTAAGCTTATTAGGTCCTGTTGGTGAGAATCTATTCTAGCTGTACATTAAATCAGACTTTCATGGAACACAGTTCCATTGAATCCAAAGTAGGACAAGAGTAAAACAAAACCCAAGTTCTGTATTATTCATAACAATGCTTATGGTGTCCATAATATGGATATTAAGAGCAGCAAGTGTATTTTTTTTTCCAGACTTTTTCAGCAGAAGTGTTGTTTTCCTAACACAACCTCTGGTACAAGGATAAAATTGGGTTTTTGTCAAAGAACAGAGTCCTGTATCTGAAGAGTAAGAAGGTAAGGTATTGAGATTATATCATTTCAGTAAGCAGTTAACAATAATTTTGGTTATTTGTTACTTTGCACAGAAATATACAAAAATACTTGATTCGTCATGCATCAAGAAGTCTCAAACATTTTATATCAGTTCCTTTTTGCTGGATGGGGTTTTTTTCCCCCATTTTATCTCATGGGTGGAATTTCTGAAAGCATTCAGCTCTGCTTTCTAAATGTGTTTTCTGTGAAATCAATGAGCTGACCTGAGTGGGAATGAAGGTTGGTTTATCTTTGGTGAGTCAAAGTTAAGTTGTCATTAAGTGATGTTGAAATACCATACTTCAAATGCTAGGTCCTTGACATTCAGTGGGATGGCAATCTCAGAAGTGACTACTGGGGACTCCCAAGCTACAGATCAGGTAAATAACTTCTTTGGAGGAGGAAATTAAAGGTGTCTTCTTTTCAAAATTATGATAATTAAGTAGCAAAGTGTGCAACTTAAACTATAAATATTTCCCATTTAACATTTCATTTAAAGTAGACATATCTATATTTGTGAGAGTATTTGTTAGTTGCAGTTTGAGCCTTATATAATTATCTAACATTTCAGCAGTACTGTTCCTAAAGAGGATTTCTATACTGACACAGAACATGAATATCTAGTTCTAATCCAATTTTCCAATGTGAACCTGTGTGTAGTTGGTCCAATTACTGTGATTTTAATTTTGCAGCAATGTCTTTTGATATTGAATGTATAATTTAGACCTAACAGTTTCCATATTAGAGGAAGTGATAGGGGCTCTGTTCAGATCATAGGATTAACTTGGTTTATTTCCTGCTTCAGCTAGTCCCCACTTTCTTCAAAGACAGGGTAACTCTGTGTTGTGACAGCTCAGCACAGTTTGTAACAGACAGCCTTAACATCACCCAAAACTGATGCTGTTATACTTTATTTCTGCTCTTGGAAAGTAGAGCAGTGCTGCGGCCTCTTTAATGAGGGCAGGAAACTTGGAGAGGAATGGTGTACAATGGCAACAGGAGCTGCTATGGCCATCTCTGGTAGCTTGTCCTAGTTCATAATCCAGGGTCCTCTGTTACTCTGCTTTCTGGGGGGAATGGGGAGGGAAAAGTGGAAAATAGTTCTGTAATTGTTAAAAAAAGCAGTAAGTTTTCCTTGTTAAAAAACAAAAAGTTTTTCTTCTGTCATAGTGTTTCAAAGAGAAAACATGACAGATTTGGGTATTTGTTTTTAAGACTTATCCAATTTCAACTATAGACTTGCTTCCTTGCCACCTTCAAAACCAGGAAAATAATATAAAAGGATCAGTATTTTAAGATCAAGAATAAAAATAGAGAGTATTTTAAGATAAAAGATTACAACAAATCAAAGAAATACTTGTATTACCTTTTAAGATATTTAACTTCAATGGACTGTTAACATCAATGAGACGTATTTAGGATTTTCTATGTTCAGTTCTATAGGCAATATAGAATGTGAGAGAAACAGCTGCATCTGACATAGATCATCTGCTTTAAGAAAATAAGCAACTATTCCTGCCAAGCAATTGGTTAAATCTATTAAAATACAAGTGGCCTTATAGTAGCTTTCTAATTCATTTAAGTGCATAGAAGGAGTATCGCATGTTTGTAATAAGTTGTGTGTTCCTAAGTGGTGAAGAATACAAGGTTTGGGGGTTTTTCCCCTGTTGAAATGAGTAATCCATGTAATTCTTGCCACAGGATATACTAAACGACTGGGGCAAATTCCTGTACCTCTTGAATTCGTAAACTTATACAAAATCTGAGCAACAGTTACTAAAGTCTCTTTATAACTAAAAAAAATCACGTAGCACACAGCACATTCAATCTTAGAGAAGCGACGTATTTTAAGAGACAGTTCATATCACTGTAGGTAAGTTTGTGCCATTAGCACTCTAAAATAGAAGTATCTGAGCAATACATAAGCCGTGCATGTACCTCTCTCTGTGGGTAACCCATTGATATATTAGTTTTATAGAATATCTTTGTTCCACTGTTCTTTGGAACACAGCTTCCTGCCCACTCAGAAGGATGGATCTTAACTTGTTCTTGTGACTTGTGTTCCAAGGATGTCTGAGAGGGCTCATGTGGGAGCTGATGTGGAGCTTACCTTAGGGTTTAGCAACAATGACAGGACTGGATACCACCCAATGTGCTGCACTGATTTTGGGTCCCAACATCATGATACTTTTTGAGAGGAGATACAGAAATTTGTTATCCTGGTCATGAACATCTAGCTTAAATGCTCTCCTCTTGGATCCCACTCTTTTATTGTTGTTATATTGATCTGGTTGGTTATGTTCTTGAAGGAGGAGTCTGTTGCCTTATGTGCAATACAGCTATGGGAGTTTCAGGGTCTTCCAGGAGAGGATATCTCATTCCTGACATGCTCACCAAGAAGAGGTGACGGAGCCTGTCTGGTGCTTTGAAGAATAACTTCATTATAATGCTGTGGAAGGGTAATTGTGTATGTTATGGAATACCATCAAAAAGAGCAGTGAAGTTGATTTTTAAGGAGTAGATTTAAGTATTGCATAATTCAAGATGCTTTCTATAAGTTAAAACTATTTTAGATTAATTTTTACAGAATTCCAGGGTACTGAGAAATTATAATTTCTGTATATAATAGACTACATTTATTGGCAGGTCTTTAAAGTGGACTGTTAACTATTTACAATAAGATAATTTTTCAAAATAGAGACATTATATGTGTTTAACAAGATTTTCTGTGTAACTATGCCCTTCTCATTAATTTATGATAGCGTGCTATACAAGAATTGTAATATTAAGTTTTATTTTCAACTTGTCTTACTGAGGTTCATCAACTAGCAAACAAAAACCCCCTACTTTTAAGCACCTCACTTTTTAACACATATTGATCCCTGAGATGAGAACATTCATGCAACTAAAACTAAATATTTTACTATTTTTTTTAATAACTAATATACCTGTCAGTACATGTGCTAGGTTATAGTTGCTGCTGTTCTTATTCTTAGAGAGGCAGATAAAGTTCACCTTTGATACGTAAGTTACAACTGTAGATATTTCACTTTATCCAAAGATTCCCAAGAGCAGAGGTCTTGCTTTCAGGGGAGGCAGAGATAGGGAGACAAAAACAATGCATTTCTCTTGAGTCTGTTTTGGAAGCTGTTGTAAAGGAGTCACTTTAAAGAGGAAAATGCATTCTTGTTTTATCAGGTACTGCTGGTGTCTCAACTCAGTTGTCTGGGACTTACCATTCTTAGTGTCCCAGGGACAACGCAGTAGTTAGAACTTTTTTTTTTTCATTTGTTTTGTCCGTTAAAGAACACATGGATAAATAACTAAATTTTATTCCTTTAGAAGCAAATAAGTTGGGGTTTTTTGTTTGTTTTCGGTTTTGTTTTTTTTTTAACAGTGCAGCTGGAGTTGGCAGATACCTTTTCAAACAACCAAGCAAAGTGCAGGTAAGTGTGGAAGTACTATTCTGCAGATGAACTAAAGGAATTTTGCTGGATAGCTGCTTGCCTGTTATTGTCGTTGGCAAGTTACAGGTAATTTCCAAAGCTGTAGTCTGGCAGGGGAGTAAGAATTGCTTTTATGTGTATTTTTCAAGCCAAAACACACAGTTTACTTTTACCAGTGTTTTTACAAGGATTCAAAATTAGTGCAACATTGTTGCTAAAAATTAGTTTTAAAAGAAAAGGAGGTATGAAGAGAATAGTGACACCTGAATGGCACAGAGAAAACTTTTGTCAGATGAACTCTTGACAATCTGGCAGAAATTCAAAGTCTAGTTTGTGTCTAGTAATTCCATTAGCATTTCAAAGGTTGGTAATGTTCTGGGAATGACACAGGAGGAATTATTTTTAAGTTAAGAATTGATGCTCTAAAGTGTTGCCTGTGCTAGGAATATTGTTGCTATCTTGCAATAGGTAAATGGACTATATCTGAGACACTTGGTTTTTCTATCAGACATTTCTCTACTTTATCTGTACTGGCATAATTAAAGTATCAGCCATCTTTCCCCAGTGTGAATAGAGCTGTATCAGTATAAAACTCTATCTGTTGGTAGCTTATTTCCACATTGAAGGAAGCAACCTAAGAGTGCTGGCCCAATTCCAGGAATTGTTTTTAATTATATTGCAGTTGCTATGCCAGTATAAACTATTCCTATTGCAGATCTTGCACCAGATGAAAGTGACTTCAATCTAGTTTATTTGCCCTTATCCGTACAGCCTCATAAAAAATTACACCACTTCAGTTTCACAGACTTGATTTGCCTTTGTAGACAGACTTGCTCTTTACACTGACTTATCTCCATTTATTCTAAAAGATATAAACAATAAGTGTTTTGACAATGAAAATGTATCTTCTGTTCTGATATAAGCCTAATCTATTCAGTTAATGCCTACAACAAGTACATTTACTGTGAAGGTTAAAATATTTCCATCTGGCTGTGTGCACCAGAGCCTATAGAGCAGCTATCCCTGTCCTGAATCCTAACAACTCTGTTATTCAGCATGGAGTACAATGTTTTACGTACTCTTATCAACTTTCAATTGCTCTTTTATAGATCAGTGTCTAGCCACACTTTTCTACTATCCAGTATATGTTACCTAAGAAAGAGTTAGGAAGGTTGAAGTTGGAATATAAGAACTTGGATCACTTGCAAATAGGGCTAATCTGCATGTGCTTGTTGTATACAGTTATTGTTGAGTAGATTCAGATCATCTCTGTTTTAAAGCTACAAGTGAGGGAGCGATCTTTGATCCCATCTTAAAATGTGGGGAGGGGATTGTGATGGGGAAAAGAACTGAAAATAAGTATAAAATAATTCTAAATATACTGCTCTAAGCCTGGGAGCAGTAAAGAAAGGACTCACCAGAGACTAACAGGAACAGAAAGAGTCAAAAGCCTAGGGACCTTTGACCGTTCAGAGAACATTCACTAACTTTAATTAGTTGTTCTCTGTCCTGTGCTTACTGACTGTTTCTTCCACCTCTAGCTGTCCATTCTACCTCTTCACTTCTGCTTCATTTCTGCATACTACATATGCTTCCTCCCACCCAATGTGCTCTCCTTACCCTGTACCTCCTTCTATGTTGTTTGCAAGCAAAAACCACCTGCAAAGTAGAACTACTGTTATGTTTACTGCAGTCCTGCTGTTTGTGCTGTGTGTGGACTTTTCCCCTGTGCTGTCTTACCTGTTTAGACTTGGCTTTTTTTATATGGTCAGGGACCTTTTACTGTTCTGTGTATTTGCTCTATCCAGCATAAATGGAGCCTCAATTTTCATAAGTCCTTATAAGACCTTAAGTATAGTTTAGAATAATTCTCCTTTATCTTATTCTTTTATAAAAATCATTCATAGGCAAATGACCACTCTTAATGAGATGAAATATATGAGATTCCATGGGCTAAAAAGGAATTTTGCTCTTCAGTTTTTTTATAGGTGAACCAGTGATTTAGAAGTATAATGTTACAGCTGTGGTTATATTAGTGTCCAGCATAATAGGATGAACATTTCAGAATGAATTTTCTATTTGCTGTGTTTGCATTGTACATGCAGTGGTTTGCAAATTGCTGGTTTGTTTTCCATGTCTTACAGCTATATAATTTACTTTCTAAAAACCATTTTGGTAGGTGTGGGTTGCTTGTCAGAAATCCATTCCGAAGCTTGAGTGCAAAAGAAGCAGGGTACTAATGATGAATACGAATGGATATCTTGAGGATAACAATGGATCTTCAAAAGCAGTGGCATTCTGGTAAGAATTTGCATGTAATTTATTAAACACTACGTGATAGTTCTCAGTAAAATGTGTTTGTGTCTCTCTCTGAGGGATTTGTCTAATGAAATTTTCTTCTAAAATGTGAAAAGTAGGAGGATTGCTCTATATCATGAAGCATTTTAAATTCTGAAGCATTGTACAACAACTTTACTTAGCATCAAGTTCTTGCATATAAAAATAGTGAAAGCATCTTTTTAGAAAAGTAAGTTATTTTAGAGAGGGAGTTAAGTGGCCATTTATGGCTCACTGTTTGTGAGCCTGTTTCTCTGAATATTTAGAACTGAATATTTTTGAACTGTCATTTAAAAAAAAAAACTGCTTTTTTCACTCAGAGTATAATCTCTTGTTGCATATTTCACCACTACACATAAGAATGTTCTAACAGACATTGCATCCAGCTTTGCAGGAGATAAAAACTACGTAATTATTGACAAATAATCATAGCTGGAAACTTTTAATCCTCATATTGGTTAAAAAATATGGCAGCATGTTAAGTTACTGATTGGTACTGCTTTGTTAGAAGTTTCACACCATTTAAATAATGCACACAGTTAGAAAGTGCAAGTAAAAACACCAATGAAAGTTTTACTGTAATTGCTGTGTAGTACAAGAGATTCCTTTAAATTTAGTATTTGAAATAACTTAGGCCAGTAATTCCCTAAGCAAAAATCTTTGTCCTACTCTTTGAATCCCACTGGTGGTTTATATTGAAGTGGAACTGTTCTGGGGGCAGCTGACAGTTCTTAAAGCTTCTTGGCATTTTGAGGTATTGGATGTGTGTATGCTCTGTAGTAAAGAGCAGCACAGACACTGCAAATTCTTCTGATGAGCAGTTTCATAGCTGAGATAGCTGTTCCAGAGCGTGCTACTTCTAGTGAAATCAGGGTTTAGACACACCTCAGGAACTCCGAATTTTGTCATGCTCTGCAGAAAGCAGCGGTGGCTCGGGAGCCGATTGACAAGCGGATTAGGCGTTAATCGGATAGTCTGTGCTGGTCAGAGGGGTGGTGGTTCATGTCTCAGTGGTAGCAGCGGGCCTGCCAGAGGCCTTAGCCCCGCTGAGAGGCAAGGATAAGGAGCTCAGACACATCCTTGTGCCAACACAGATACTTCCCATGGGCACACAGTGAGAGCAGGGAAACAGGGGTGTATTCTTGTGGGGATGAGCACCAGCCAGGCTGGCAGAACACAGCTGCTCTGGACTCCATTGCACGGTACAGATGTACATCATAACAAGTACCTAGGGCAGCATTAATTGAAACAGAGCATCCTCACTAAGACACTGGAAGAGGAAGGACAGAGAATGCCTGGTAAGTGAGCTCTGAGAGGTCTGTGGCCACACTCCAAAGGTCTGATGTAACTGTATAAGTTAGACCTAAAAAGATTAATGTAAGCAGTCTCCTTATTTGAAATTAGATTGGCAAGCAAGGTGACTAAAAGTGACTGCTTAATATCCCTTTCTGTAACATACAGTTTTTCATTTTTACTTTTGAGGTAGGAGGGAGATAAAATCTGGCCTTCAAAGTACTATGTACTCATTCCAGTGCCAAAATATGAAACACAAATCAGCATCTTAAATTTAGGGGCATACTAGGTTCCCTTAACTGCTCTTGGACAAATATGCATAGATATATGAATGTAAACTTAGATAGCTGCTTTGATGTACTTATAAATGTGTTTTTTGGACTGCTGTTATTCTGGTTCTTTTATTTTTCTTGACAGGCTAATCTTTCAGTCGGGTTCATTGCATGTCAAGTGTTTGGTTAATTATTTTATCTTATTTATATTTTAAACCAACTTTTTTTTTTTTTTTTTTTTTGGGAGGGGGGAGGGGGTAGAGGGAGAGGGGGCTAAGGGTGTGGTGTTAAGTTCTTGGTTTTAAATTCCCTCAGATTCTGAAGGAGGATACCAGTGAAGAAAAACCTACTTTGCAATTTCCGTATTGTAGAGGTATCTGTAGTTGCACTAGTTATAAAAGTCAAGTCTGGAGTGTCTTTTTATGTTGATCTTTTTGAGGATGACTGTACTGACTGGTATGGTTTCAAATATAAACAGTTAAGTTATTGACTTGTAAAAGAGCTGACTGTCATTTTCTGCTTAATTCCTCTTTTGCTAAATAATTTCTGTGATATTAACTTCATTTGTAACACTTTCGTAGGTGCAGGCCTGAGGGGGAAAATGTTATAGTTCTTTCACAATTCATTGGTTTGTGGATATTTCTGTTATGTTGTTTCCACACTGAATGACTCATATGTTAAATGAACATACCAGCCCCAAGGCATGCCCTTGCTATTGCAGCCCACAGTGCAACCTGATGCCATTGCACATTAAAACGTGAAAGATGCTCATATCCGTTTGAATCCTTGGGAAGTTTTGTGCACTTTGGCCACGTGTGCTAGCAGTTACTCAATGTATGTTCTTTCAAAAAGCTGTGGTTTACTATGTCTGATTGCTCTTTTTCAAACTGTTGATTTGCTGTGTTTGTAAGCTACATCTGTCTTGAGAGCCCAAGTTGGAACTGAGAAATAGTAATTTTTAGTTGTGTGGGTTTTTTGTCTTTTAACAAGGTGGTACAGTTTCATTGTATTCATTTCCAGACTATGGAGAGGCTACAGAAGTATCTGATTTGCATTGCCACCTGTGCATTTTTTAAAGTATTTTGATAGATTCAGAGATTGTTTTATCTTGGAAGTTGATAGCCCAGATCTAATGCTCCACATTGTGAAAACACTAACTAGTGTTAGATTGAACAAGTTGGACCTGATTACCTTAGCTCTCCTTGAATTTTGGTTTTCTTACACATTTGATTTTTCATTGTTTAATAAGAATGTGAAAGACGAAACAGATTTACCTATTGATGAAGTCACAAAAATTATCACATTATAGAAGCTTCACATCAGAATGTTGCTAGGAGCAAGCTCTTTAATATCTGTAATAGGGATATGTGCACTCACAACAGTGAGAGGAAAGGCTTTGAAAAGTATATGAAGTAAAACATTTTTGATATTGTTTTGAATCTTTAGGATGTTTGGGCTTTTTTCATGTGCCATATAGTGGTGTTAAATCTATGCCTTCATTGATTCATATAGTGAAAGTATGTCTCCAGAATTTTTGTTCTGTGGTTTTGTTTTGTGGTTTTGATAGGAGTAAGACAGATTGCTGTGACAGGATAGATAAAACATATCACAGGTCAGGTATTTTGGCTTTTAAATAATGATCCTGTTCTGTCGTGCATAGTATGCAGTAGAGGAGTTTATGCCAGAAAGAACAGATAAATTTATGGGAAGACCACTCTTCAATATAAATTTTTCACTCAACATTACTCGTGGCTGTACATTGGATGTGACTTTTTCTGTCTGTGTCCCTGCTTGTTTTTGTGAGGAGGTTGTCACTGCTCAGCTAACTCTAATTTCACTGGTGGGGAGTTTGTCTGTCCGGTCCCGTCAGCTTTGGCAGCAAGACTAGGCACGTTAGTGAAAACTATGTGCAACTGTTAACAACATTGATCACAATTACACAGGAAACACTGGAAGGCAATAAAAGCAGCTGTTTAGATCCTGTTTGCAGTTCTAGCACCCTCAGATGAAGTCATCTCAGGTCACTTAAGGATGTCTCACTAAAATGGTATTAAAGCATATAAAGTTATAACAAGTCTACTGTTTAATTTTTAGGTGGTGTTGATATATAGGCAAGAAGAAGGAGGTAGCAAAGTGAAAATACATCAGAAATAACTGCTCTGGCCAGCTGATGTGTTTGAAAGAATAGTGTGAAGGTGCAGAGTGGTAATCCTGTTCAGCTGCATTTGCTTTTAATAGGCCATAGTAAAACAGCAAGCCAAAAAGCAGACATGCTGGTGTATTCCACAACGACAGGTGTAAAAGCTGCCTCGCTGGACTTCTTGGCAGTCTCCTCTCTTCCTAGTCTTTGGCTTGTCAAGAGCTTTCCTTTGTTTGCCAGGAGAGATCCTGCAGTCATGCTCGTGTCTGCTCCAGCACGCACAGTTTTAGTCCTGCTCCCTCACTTTCCCACCTGTTGCAGAGCATTTTTTCTGTTCGTGTACTGCATGGTAAAGATGAGCAGCTCTCAAGTAAAGCTCAGGGGCTGAGTTTTGATGAACAAATCGGGGTTTTACAAGTATAGAAGGAGCATCGATGTTCGGGGCTGGTGGTACCATCCCCTTCCTTTCCCGTGGAATCCGTCGGTGCTTTTCTCTCGGGGGAGGGGGGAGGTGGTTTCACCCGGGGCAGTGCTCAGCGCTGCCGGTTACCGGCGCACGGACCGTGTTGCACATGAGCACGTCCGAGTGGCCTCGGGGTGTTCCCCGTGAGAGCTGTCCTCGAGGCAGCGCGGCCAGCAAGTTCTCCATGGGGACGGTCCGGGCACCGCCTCGGTGCCGTCAGCCCGCGGGGCCGGGGGGCGGGAGGCTCCTGCCCGGGCTCGGCGGCGTTAGGAGCCGCGGCCGTGCCTCCCTCCTCCGCTGCTTGCTGGGGCGGCCCCGGGGAGGCTGGAGGGACCTTTGCCCGCCGAGCAGCGCGCCCGCTCCGCGCTGGCCTCACGTCAGGTCTCTTTTGTTCACTTACAGCAGAAACTCAGCTCTTCCTTCAGAGGTTATGCAGGGCATTGTGGCACGTGTTCGCCTTCAGAAGCGTGCTTTGGCTAATGTTCAAATACGTCGAATTTAATGCCTACATGATACTTGCACTACAAGACTTTTACAGCAGCTACTATGTATCCTGCTGAAGTCTTTGTAGTATAATATTTGAAACAAGGCCGTAAGAATAAGGGTTCTAACTATTAAATTAGAATTAGACTTGAGCAGAAGTTGATATATTATCTGACACTTGGCTTCTGTAGTGCCTGTCACAAAGTAATGGCTCTCTTAAACTGTGCATTAATCTTCAACAAATTCAGAAATGTCTGTTTCAGTCCAGAAACTCTTATTACCAAATAAATAGCTCTGGTACTGTTGGAATGAG